ATAGGGAGGTCACACATTCCTGCAGGTATTTGGGCGGCTTGTGGCTGGGGGTGTTTGGAAGTGTGGGGGGCCCTGCTGCCCTCCAGGGCCCGAGGCATGAGAGTGGTGGCCAAGGCCGATGGGCTTGATGCCCACCAGGACCCCTTCCGGCTTCCTTGATCAGCTCGGTGTCTCCAAGCCAGGCTTCGTGCTGCTACTTCTGTGTCCCTCCCCTGGGGCCAGCCAGGGCCCAGATGCCCCAGGGGTCCCCAGCAAATATGCCACATGCAGCTCAGGCAGGCAGCTGGGATGATCAAAACAGGACCCCTGGCACGGCGCAGGCCTCGCCATTCACAAACACAGGCACGTACAGCGTCTGTGCCATCTGCAGGGAAGCGCTCTCCTGGGCCCATTCCCTGGGCAGCCATCCCCATCGCCACCAACACCACACTCCTGACGCACCCTGGGGAGGGGGGCGCCTGGCCCGAGGCTCCAGGAGGGATGGCGAGCAGGCATGGAGCCCCCCCACGGCCCCTGCCTTGGAAGATTCCCCCACGTGCTCACCAAGTCCAGACACGCCTTCCCTCTGGCACCTCAAGTTCCAGACACATGCCAGGCACAGGGCTAGGCCCTAGGGACACAGCGATGGCCAGGCACAGGCGAGTGATAACAGCATCACCATGGGGACTAACAGAGAGCATGCCTGGGCACTGGAGAAGGCAAAGGAAGCAGCATTTTACCCCTGCCTCGGCAGCACCAGGAAGGCCACCCAGAGGTGGCGGCACCTGAAGGAACCCGGCTGGCGAGTGGAGGCCCACCACGTTCCGGCAGCAGGGCAGTAACTGCACAGGCTGCGAGGCAGGGACGTCCTCTCACACTTAGGGAGCTGCAAGGAGACCAGTGTGGACAGAGTGGGACAAGTGCAAACAGCCACCGTGCTGCTCACGAGTGCTGGCTTTTACCCCGCCCGGGAGGAGGGTCTGGAGCGGACTGCGAGCAGGACCACCCGTGGCTGCGATGAGGAAAGGCCGCAGCAGGAGCGAGGGCAGCATCAGGGCCACCACTGAGACCTGAGCAAGCTGCTGGGATAATCCAGGCTTGGACCATGGTGGTAGGACGGGGAAGGGTGAGAAGACTCTGGAATGATTCTGAAGATAGAGCCAACGGGATTTCCTGATGGATGGATGTGAGGTCAGGGAGAACGAGAGGCATCGGGGATGAGCCCGAGCCTTTGACCTGAGCAACCAGAAGGAAGCAGGGCGGTCAGGATAGGAGAGGCCGGCAGGGAGCCAGGTGTTCAGGGAGACCAGGAGTTCGCCTGAGCAGCAGCCCAGGCAGGAAACAACAAAGCCAGGAGTTGTCAGCATACAGGTGGCATCTAAGCCACGAGGCTACATGTGACCACCAGGGGTGAGAACTAGGGAAAGAGACACAACAGCTGAGCCCCGGGGCCCTCCAACGCTAAGAGGTGGGGGAGATGTGGAGGAACCAGCACAGCAGCTGAGACAGGGACGGCGGTGTCCCAGGTCTGGGGATGGACGATGGGATTTAGCAACTGGAGGTCATTGGTGATGTCAACATGAGCCACGCTGGTGCAGTGTTTGGAGTAGAGTCAGGGGGTGGACAGGAGACAGCACCCTGGCAGCCCCTGTCCTCATCCTAAAGGAGCCCTGTGCCTATTCACTGCTGATAGCCTGGGCCGCGGTGCGGGTGATGCCAGCCAGGGTGACCAGGGACTGGGACATCGACCTGCCCCCGCACCACCCCGCCCGGCCCAGGCTCTGCTGTGAAGGACTGATGTTCACGACTGGAGCAGGACACGCAGGGACAAGGGGCCCTGTCTGGGGAAGCGGGGCAATGTCAACAGACCAGGAGAAGGCAGAGCTACTTAATGACTTCATTTGGCTTCTGTCTTCTCCGGCTGGGAGATGGTCTTCAGAAAAGAACATCGCACAGAGGGAATTGGAGCCCCAGATAGGTGAGGGGACAGTAATGGAACATGCAGCCTCTGCGAGGGACATCAGATGGCCAGGCTGTGCCCTCCCATTCGCCCCCAAGCCACTGGCCCCTGGCTGGGAATTGAGGCAAGAGCAGAAAAAGTGGAAAGGCTCCGAAGGTTGGGGTGGGTAAAAGTCCCAATCTTTAACCCAGGAGAGCACATGCACAGGAACTATGTACAAAGAGAGCCTCCGATTCCTCCACCTCTGCCTCCAATTCTTAAAAGGAATTTAAAAAATGAATTAATACGTAAAAACACTTAGGACACTGCTTTGAACATTCAACAAATGCTGTTGTTACAATAATATACATTATAGATATAGTATAGCGTATGTATTATTTTTATTATTCTGTAAGGCTCCAACAGTGAGAATTAGACCCAGTGGGCAGTTCCAGGGAGGCAGGTTTCATACTAATATTAGGAAGAATTTTTTATTCCTGCAACTGTCCCGCAGCCCAGAAGTGAGCTGCCTTGTCAGATCACGAGCTCCCCGTCGCTGGGTGTTCAAGCAGAAGCTGGATAATGAGCCCTGGCGCTGGACGTCTGAAACATCAGCCCTCCCCCTCTCCCTGTAGGCTGGTGGGAGGCCGGCACCCATGGAGTCTGCCAGGTCCGCAAGAATCCACGTCTACCCTCTGAATGGTCCAGGGCCACGTGGGTGCAGCACCCAGTGGAGGGCTCTAGGCCTGTCTCATCCAGGCTGCCCAAACCAAAGCCCACCAGGCCCATCTTTCCAAAGCCCTCCCACTGGCAAGATGGGGCGGTAGGCACCCAGAGAGGTGCAGTGCTGAGCCCAAGGTCACACAGCTGTGTTGCCCCATTCTGATGTAAAAGGAAGAGAGGAGGCTGCGTGGGTGCTGGGCCAGCTCAGCACTCACCCCGCCCAGACAGATGAGTACGGTTGTCTTCCAGCTCACTGAGCCCCCTCTCAATCCTACAGGGCCCCCTGGAGCCAGGGATCAATCCCCACCACACTAGACAGACGCCCCCGCTGTGACTGCCAAGTGGAGCCTTAACAGGGCTCGAGTCCTGGGAGTTGCTCCCGGAGGCCGATCGATGCAGCGTTTGCAAAAGACAATCAGGAGCCAGAGCCAAAGGCAACGGGAGCAGGGCCTGCTGGCGGCTCACTGGCTGGGCGTCCAGCCTGACTCGCCGTGCCAGCGCTGGTCAAGCCGTGCCTGCCCCTTCCTGCCCACCCATCAGCTTCCCTGCACCACAGGCCTCCGAGGACCCCTCGCTCAGGGCTGAGCATGCGATCACAGGTCGGGGACAGAACCCGCAGCACTCCCCTGAGAGGGGCCCTCGCCTCCCCCAGCCAGCACCAGGGTCACTTAGTGGCTGGCCGTGCCTCTGCCTCAGTGGCCCTCCTGCTCCAAATATAGTCCCTCCGCCACAAAGGAATCTCCCAGAGGATGAGGTTATTAACATGGACACCAAGTGATGAGCACTGCTAACAGCACATGCATTGGCCTCTATACACGTACTGGGTGCCCACTCTGCCGGCTCTGTGCCAGCCCCATGCCGGGTCTGGGTGGGCAGGGAGCCACAGATGAATTCCACCAAAAGAACACAGCTGTGTCACAAATCCAGTAGCCCACAAACATCCCCCGACCCAGCACAGAGGGGAGCATACAGCTCAGCAGGGCCCCCATGGGACCTGCAGGTACCCTGTCCACCCCCAGAGGGGCAAGCTCACCCTTTGGAAGGGCATCCTACAGAGGCAGGCACCTTCTTCCCGGATGGCCCCTCAACACCCACATCCCCAAACTCCAACCCAAAGTCCAGCCTTACAATGCTGATCTGTTGCCAAAAGCATGGCCACTTTCCACCGAGGGCCCCCAAAGACCCCAGAAACAAAGTGCCACTGGGCCACGGGGACAACCCCCACAATAGTCAGCCACGCCCACTGTGCCCCGCAACCCCCTGCAAAAAGCCTCCAGCAGACAGAGTGGAAGGGACTGCTCACACCCCCACAAGCAGCAGGGAGAGTCTGGACCCGCCTAAGGTGCCCCCCTTCAGCAGAGACCTTCTTTGAAGAATTGTGCATGCCCCGCGCCACGCACCTGCTCTGATTTTACGTGAAGGAGTGTCTTAAATGACTTAACAGGTAAGTATCTTAATACCCCTCCCCACTCCAAGCTGTCCTGTCTCATTTTCAAGTGCAAGTGATGCTCCAAAAACATGAACCACGCTGACCCCTGATGTGCCCCTCTGGCACACAGCCCCCGCCTCTGTACCCGCAGAGCCTCAGACCTGGGTGCAAGAAGCCCCAGAGGACAGGCACTTTCCCTAAAGTGACAACGGCCAGAATGAGAGGACAGAGGAGGGCTGTCGGGGGAAGGGGGCGGGCCCTGTCAAGGCTGCTGTGTGCCTGCGTGCTCACGGGCACCTTCCCACCAGCACAGCTGCAGGTGGGTGCCGGCAATTCGCCCCCACTTCCTGAGAGGCTTCTGGGTCCCCAGAGCTGAGCTAGGGCCAAAGGCTCACCGAGTCCCCTCTCTGCAGATCTCCAGTGGCAGGTGTGGGAGCCAGGCCCTCGGCAGGGCCACCCTGGTGCTTGGCTGGGTGACGGGGTAACTCCAGCCGAGCACCAGGATGCTCATGATCACCTCCTAAATGGCTATTTTTTTCCTGATGACAAAACCAGGCATACTCAATGCTGAAAACTTAGTAATCACAGAAAAGTACAAAAAGCCACAAAACAAACTCTACAATAGCTGCAGTCTGCAAATATCCGCAAGGGCTTCAAGTGGAAGAGGAATCCAATCTAGTGCCGGCCGTGGAAGTCAAGCCCCTGGGGCTCAATGTCCTCAACCCTTGGGCGTTCAGAACTCCCCACTGTGGGGATGGGCCACACAGGAAGTACTGAGTGCCCCGTCCCCAGAGTGATCCCAGATGAACACCGTGGAAGAGATTCTAATAACAGGTGGAAGATGGTCTCAACCTCTGAGACCCCCTTCACTTGCGGGAAGGGAGGGCACCCCATGCCACCCAGCACACCCACCAGCCAGTGCCCACTCACCCACGGGCGTGTCCTCGCTGATCAGCAGGTATGTGTCAAAGAAGTGGTTGGTGAAGAAGGGCAGCCGGTTCACCTGGCCTGGAAGTCAGAGGACAAGAGCGTCAGCCGCGCACCCTCACGCCAGCTGCACGCACTCTAGAAGGTCAACTTCCGAGCACCCTGAAGGCCCCTGTCCTGCCTCGAGGCACAGGGGAGAGAATGCCAGTGGGCAGGCAGGCAGCAGTCAGTCCACACGGGCAGTGCTCTGAGTGCAAAATACACACAGAATTTCAAGCACTTTGTGCAAAGAAAAATTAGTGTAAAATAGCTCGTTGATCTTTCATATTGATTACATGTTGAAGTGACACTATTTTGGATATATTAGATCAAGTAAAATATATTATTAAAATGAATTTCACCTGTTCCTTTGTACTTTTCTAATGTGGCTCCCAGAAAAATTAAAATTACACATGTGGCTTGTGCTGTGTTTCTTTTCTTTTCTTTTTGTGACATATATATTTATTTTCTCAATAATAACTTGCCAAAAGTAAAAGGAAAATACAAATGTATGCAACATGACGCGACAAAAATACAATGAGTCCTGGCACAGATGTTTCTGTTTAGTTGTGGCCATATCAGGTCTGTTGTCTGGGCTGGAGTGCAGTGATGTGATCATAGCTCACAGCAACCTGAAACTCCTGGGCTCAAGCGATTCTCCTACCTCAGCCTCCTGAGTAGCTAGGACTACAGGCATGCACCACCATGCCTGGCTAATTTTTTTATTTTTTGTAGAGATGGGGTCTTGCTGTGTTGCCCAGGCTGGTCTAGAACTCCTAGACTCAAGCAATCTTCCTGCCTCGGCCTCCCAAGGTGCTGGGGTTACAGGTGTGAGCCACTGCGCCCAGCCCTATGCTGTATTTCTATTGAATGGTGTGGCTCTGGGTAGAACATGAGCTCTGCAAGGACAGGGGCTCGGCTGTCCGTGGTAGCTCTGTGCCCAGCACAGGGCCTGGCACCTAGAAGGCCCACATTACTGCTCGTTATGTGAAAGAACGGCCACTAATCCCACAGAACGTGATAACAGCAGTGACAATAACGCTGCCATCTATGGGAGCCCTGCTCTGTGCCAGCTACTTAGACCACCTCACTCAATCTTGACGGGAAGGCAGGTGCTGTCACATCCCCATGCCACCAGGGAAAACGAGGACTACAGGGGACAAGTAAGTTGCCTCACTCGCTCACTCACACAGCTGGCCAGCGGCACAGGCCCAGACCCCAGAGCTTGTTCTGTTAACCGTGTGCCACGCTGGTGGCCTTGGAGTGGGGTCCGGCTATGGAAGGGACGAGGGTGATGCCCACATGGCTGAGGAGCTTAGCACCTACGAGGAGCCCCCACGCCACAAGTTCTCCCCACGAAGCCTCCCCAAGGCCGGCTTCGCCTGCCCCCACGCTCCTCCCGGGCCCTTCCGCAGGCCAGTGAGGGCGCGTCCCCCTTGGTCCCTGCCAACCGGGAAGGAGCTGGCCTGGCTCACAGTGGGGCCAACAGTGTGCAGCACTTGCCATGAGGGGCTTCTGCTGGGCCCGCCAGGGTCCCTGAGCATGGGCAGGGCAGGGGGCAGCTCCCCTCCCCTCGTTTCTGCTCACTGGGGCTCCCTTAGCACTTATCTTTGTGCTTGTGCCAGGCTCCGAGAGGGCGAGGAGGCTGGAATCAGGGTGGGGCACTTCCTCCTCCAGCCCAAGATGCCACCTAGCGGGGCCTGGGCAGAGCTAGGAGGCTCTGGCATCTTTTCTTCCTCCCCCAACCTGCTCAGGTAGCCAAGCTGATGTTATTTCTGGTCCCTCATCCTGGCCTCTCTCTCTTTTCCTGGCCAGGACTGCTGGCCCTCCTGCCATCCCTTGCCAGACTCTTATTCATCCTTCAAATCTCTTTATAGATGTCCCTTCCTCCAGGAAGCCTTCCCTGACCACCAAAAATATCCATATGCACCTGCACACAGGCCTCCACCCTCTCATGCCAGGAACACAATGGCCTCAGAAAGAGGCTGCCGGTCAAGGGCCTCGCCTGTTTGGAGACTCCCTGTGCCTTTTCTAGCCCCGTGATTGTCCCATGTCTCAGTTTACCCAGGTGTAAAACAGCAATAATAATTGGACTTACTTCATGGCTAACCTGAGGATTAAATGAGATTACATACATAAAGCGCTCAGCACCTGGCCCCTGGCACACGCCCAAGCGCTGGATAAATGGCAGCTATTATTAACACTGGTATTAATAAAGGCGGCGCCCTCGCAGCCAGAGGGGAAGGTTTCTGATCCCTGCTGGGGGCCTTGGGCTCCATCTCCAGGAAATCAGGAAGCCGTGGAGCAGGGTACAGGGTGCCCAGAGAAGTCAGCAGCACGTTGGGCTGCTGGGGGTGGGAAATCAGTGAGAAAAAAAAAAAACTGCCTGCAGTAGCATCGCTCATTTTTAAATTTTATTTTACAGGATCTGCCGATAATCGGCCGCCAAGAGCTCTGCACGGACAGCTGGGCAGAGACGTGCGTCGCCTGCCACATACCAAGCAGGACCCGTGTTCCCAGAACAGGCCCTGGGCTGCCAGTGCAGGTACCTAGGACTAGGAGGGACAGACAGGTAACTGCTCCTCTCAAAAACCAGTCTTAAAGCACAACAGCTGTGTCCTCCTGAGCCAAAGCTGCTACCTCGGGAGCCGTGAGACCCCTCATGAAATGGGAGCATGAGCGGATGTAGGAGGGAGGTGACAGTGGCTGATTTCTGGGGGAGGAGAATCCCAGCTTCCCGAGCCCCACAGTCTGCAGCACCAAGCTCTGCCCCAGCCCTCTCCCCGCCCACCCAGACACCCACAAAAGTAGACAGGGAGTGGGCCACCAGCTTGTCACATTTCAAACACCCTGCAGGCCTGAGGGAGAGGGGAGAGAGGGGAGGCTCAGAGAGGGTGCAGCACCTGAGTGGCCGTAGCCAAAGGACAAGGATTTCCACACACCGGGCAGGGAAGGAACAAAGGCTGGGCGTGGTGCGCAGGGGACCTGACGTCGAACCCCCAGGCATCGGTGGGCACAAACTTCACTCAGAAGCAGGGGCTGGGGGTTCCTCTGAGGGCTTGAAGAACACTGGATTTGAACCAGGCCGGGCTGAATCCAAGCCCGGGCCTGCCTCCCCAGGCCTGGCATGGTGATGGGGGCTGAAGGCACAGGTGGCTCACACTGGGATCCATGCTGGGGAGAACGTCAGAGTCCCCCGCGCCAACCCCGCCCTCCCAGACAAGGAAGGGCACTGGACGGGGGCACAGAGACGGAGTCAAGGGTCTTGCATGCTCTGCCACTCGCTGCTGGGGGACCCTGGGAAGACCCCTCTACCTCTCTGGCCCTGTTTCCCAGCCTCAGGATGGAGACAAAAACCCCTGCCCTGCCCCCCCGCTCCCCTGCCAGAGGCATCCTGTGCACCGTGGTCACTGCTGTGGTGGCTCTGCCTGGCCCACAGGAGCCCCAGTGACATGCTGACATCAGGTGGGGAAGCTGGGCAGCCCCACAGTCAGGGGTCCTTCATGCCCAGCACGCAGGGACCACCCATCTGACCCAGCAGGATGCTCCCTGGCCGGCAAGGCTAGGATGGAGAGGGGCGGGCCTGCTCAGCCCTTCACCTCCTGCCTCCCCTGCGGGCCCACAGATGAAGAATGACAAGTGCCCGGAGCACACGGAGGCCAGAGGGGAGAGGGCAGGAGAAGGGTAGGAGGCTTCGCAGGGAGGTGACAGACTGACAAGGGGTTTTGACACTGGGTGGGTTTCCCTGAGCCTGACCCATCTCTGATTGCAGGGGCTGGAGGAGAGTCCAGTAGGGAGACAGGGTCAGGTGGAAACAAAGTGGGGACAAGTGAAGGGCTAGGTGAGGGACAGGTGTCCAGAGGGTGGCATAGGAAGGTGGTGTCGTCAACCACTCACCCTTCAGTCCCTCAGGTCAGCCACTGCCCCGCCATGCTAAAGGAATAGCACTGGCCACTTCGGATGGGGACCAGGAAGAGGTGACTATGCCCAGCAAGGAGAGAGGGAAGGACCCTCGTATATATGGCAAAGCAGGCTAACCCACTGCAGGCCGATCACCTGTGTTTTGCCACAAAATTGCTGGCTGGCCCTGGGTAACTTGCTTAGCTTCTCTGTTTCTGCGCCCCATTTTGCTCCCCCTAGAGAAAGATTACTGCTGGTATAAAAGAGCTAACACTTACCAAGCACCTGAAAGGTGCCAGGCACTATTCTAAGCACTTAATGTACGTATTAATTCATTTGACCATTTTGACAACCCAAGAAGGAAAGTCCACTATTGTTCCTATTTCAGAAATAAGGACCAGGCGGGGACTACACATGAGGGAGATGCTGGGTAGGTGGGGACGACTGAACCAGAGAGGACAGGACACTTGTCCGAGGGAGCCCCCTAGAAGACGTGGGGCCGGAACCCAGAGGCTGGATCTATGCCCCTTTCTCGTGCCTGCGTGGCATGCCTGAACCACGTTTCATCTGGAGAGCTCAAGGGGAGACGGCCATGTCTCACTGAGGAAGGCAGCCAAGACCACCTGCTTTTCTCCTACATATGTATTTCATTTTAACTGACGAAGAAAGTGAGGCAAACAGAGCAGGCGCAGGGCATGAGCGTCCAAGGTCACAGAGTCCCTGGGAAGGCTGAGGAAAGTGCTGTGACCTCCGCTGTCCAGCAAACCCAGAGGGCAGAGCTGCCCCTCCCTGCCCCATGTGGGGAGCCTCATTCAGGGGCAGGCAGGGGTGGTATCCTGACTAAGGCCCCTGCGGAGGATCAGAGACCCCTGCTTGGTACAACCTCGGGACAGCTGCTTCTCCAGGGTTCAGTTTCTTCTCTGGTAAAATGTGCCAGGAGTTGAGAAAGAGTCTGAGACTCCTTCCCATTCTGCCTCTGAGGCTCTTTGAGATTGTGCTGTGCTTTTGGGCTGCCTGGATGGGAGTGAGCTTCCTGTCACAGGAGGCATTCAAGTAGGGATCCCTCCAAAAGTGGAGGCAAGGAGAGGAGACCTTCAGGAGACTCAGGCTGCAGGATGCCAATGACATTACCGCAAGCATGAGGCTGCAGCTTCCTCCAGAGATTCCAGCTGTCTCCCTGGAGTGGGAGAAGGAGCTGGCCCCCCACAGGAATGTGTTTGCCTGTGTCGCCAGGCACGCCATGCTCACAGCTCTTCCCCAGAGCTGCCCTGGCCCTGGGGGACACCATGCCAGCCACGCCTGCTGTCCTGGCCTTCCTCAGCACAGCCCAGAGCTGCTTTGCTCCCCACGACCCGCTGTCTAGGGCCGAGAGAGAGGCAAATGCCGAGGCCTTTCCAGGCCTCCTCGTGGGCCCCAGAGCTGGCACTCTGAGCCGGCTGCTGCGAGGCCCGGGGAAGGAGGGCTGGTCCCCTGCAGAGAGGAAGGCTCCCGGCTGCCGCCACTTTGCCCATGATGAGCTTCCACCAGGATGCCCTTCCTCCCTCTCCCCTAATCTACAGTTACTTCTTGGTTGTCCAAGCCCAGGTCAAATTCTCACTCTTCTGGCTGGGTTCCTCCTGTCCGCGCAGCCCAATTACTCTTTTCTTCTGACGGCCTCCTCTGGAGCCGCGACCCCCCTCCAGTCCCACTCTATTCACCCTGCATTACAGCAAATCCAGGGTGTGTCCTTCTCCCCCGCTAGCCTCTGAACTCGAGAATGAGCTATTTCCTCCAGCCCCCAGGGTTGGGCACAGTAGGCACACCCAGCGTCACACAGTAGGTGCTCAGGAGACAGCTGGGAAACTGAACAGAACTATGACTGGTCCCTCACCCCAGGAGGAGGGCAGGTCACGGTCACAGATGCTCCTTTCCTTAGAACCCAAGTATTTCTCAAGGCTCCTCCCAGTGCCGCCTTGTGCCCAGGCCTGGGGACAGCTGGTATTTTCAGCCCTGTGAGAGCTGCAGAAGGCGACCGAGGTCCATGGAGAGAAGTGTGTGCCTCTGTCACACAGCAAGGCAGGGCTCCGGAGTCCCAGGGCATAGCCGAACTGCTGGCCCCAACACCCTCCGGCCCGGCCTCCCGTGCAGAGGCTGGCTGTCGGGGCAGAGGAGGGGAAGGTAGGACTTACCCCAGCATCCGGAGATCAGCACAAAAAGCCAGACCACGTGGCAGCTGGTGGCAACGTGGCACCTCATGGCTCCTGTGGAGACAAGGAGAAGAGAGTGAGAAGCCTCCTACGTGGGGGCTGCCCTTCAGCCCCTCCAGCACTCCCCCACCCCCGCAGCCCCGGGAGAACAGGGCAGGAAGGAGGAGAAGGAATCGACTCAAATGGGGGAGGGGAGGGGACCCGGGAAAGAAGAGATGGTCTGTATCATTTGGTTTTGTCATCGTCCAATCCTGGGTATGAGTAACCGGGCTGGGGGCGGGGCCCACAGGGACGGACGTCTTTGCCCCGGTGGGGACTCTGTCTGCAAAGCTCAGCAGCAGGCATGGAGTGTGCACTGGTGACAAATTCCAGGCTCAGTGGATGGAGGGAGGGCCTGCTGCCTCCAGCCCCCAGGAGCACATACCCCAAGAGTGACGGAGCGTGGTTAGCCTGGGGACACACCAAGGAGACGGGTGCTGATGGGAAGACAGGGGTCTGAGAGTGGGCTGGCAAGTCCAACAAGCCCACCGCAATGTGCCCAATGAGCGTATCTTTTCCTGTGTCTTTTTATTATCCACCATGTTATCCCACAATCTTGGATATGAAAGGAAGCAGCAGGTCATGGTATCCAAAGAGGCACAGAGAGGGGAGGTGACCTGCCCAGGACCCCACAGAAGCTGAATTTGGGAGCCACAGAGCTAAACTCTATAGAGATCTGAGGCCCAGCTGATGGAGACTCTGCAAGGCCGGATCCCATCTCTAAGCGTGGCAGGGAGTGTGGACTGCTCTCTCCCACCAAGGCAGCAGCCTGCCCAGCCCCATTACAGCAGGGCCATGGTCTTCTGGCTCCTTCTTGTTCCTCCAGCAGCTCAGAGCAGGCCTTCCTAGAGGCCAGCAGTGACACCAGGGGCCTTGCTCACCAGCGGGGTATCCCAGCCCCCCCTAGAATTGTCAGCCCTGTGAGCGCAGGACAGGCCCACACATTCCCCTCCAGTGAGCAAGTGAGCGCCTACTGTGCATCTGGCCTGGGGGTGCTCCCCTCCCTGGTTCACAGGGCGGGGTCTGGAGGCTTAGAGCCGTTGAACGATTTGCTCGGAGACCCCAGCTGGTGAGTGGCATCAGCATCTGGAGCCAGGATGACGTACCACCTCCCTGTCAATAAGCCACCAGGAAGGACGTGGGGAGGTGAGTGGAACTGGAAGAAAGGATGTTCTGGAGAGACTTGCACATCTCTGCAAGATCCAGGGCTGAGAGATAGAGACACGGCCGAGAGCTCAGCCCCTCAACTCTGGAGCTGGAGCAGTCTCCCCCAGTCAGCCCACGTCCCGAGTGGACAACGAGATGACCCCACCAGACGGTTCCTGACCCAACACGACACACAACGGTCCATGGCAACCTTTTGTCTTCCTTCTAATATTGTACTTAAAATGTCCTAATTACAAAGCGTGGAACAGTCATTGCAAGAATAGAAATCTCCAAGATGTGTTTGAATATGAAGGACGAAAGCCCCATCCCACCCTGCGCTTCCACAGCCCTGAGTCTCCAAATATTCACCGCCCAGCACAGGGGGCTGCGAACCACAATGCCTGCAAGGGCCAGGCAGGGAACCTGAGCGAGAGGGACGCCGGGTGGGTGGCGACGATGGCCATTTGGAGGCCACACGCTCTGTCCAAAAGCGGCAGCTGCTGATGGGTTCCAGCCAAGAGGGAATGTGGGCCCAGTGTGGTGCAGCTTCCGATTTTTCTCTGCGAAAAACTGCAAATCAGGCTTTTTACATGAATCCAATTTCTAAATGTTGGCAAGTAATTCAATCTGTAAGTTACACTTTTTGTGCCAAACATGACCTGTCTGACGGCTAGAACGGGCAGGCTGAGCCTGGCGCACATTCTAGCAGGCCTTTCTCTGCACCCAGGCAAATATGTTCCCACTCACACACGTATGGAGCCGCGCCGCTGCTGTTCACCTTGAGAATGAAGGAGGCACCCTCTGTATAAAAGCAATTTGCTTTTCTCATGTCATGATATTCCACAGATGACCCTCCAGGGCCAACACTGCTTAGAACTACCTTCTCCTTTTTAAGAGCTAAAAACAGTGCATAGCAGGGTTGTTTCACAATGCAGACTTCATCTTCTACTGATGGGCATTTGGATGTTTCCAGATTCCTGCCACCGCAGACAACGCCACCGTGAACATCTCTCTGCACATAACGTGTTGGGACTTTGCTCTTCAGTTCAGCTCTCTGACAGTGGGATTGCCGGATACAACATAGGGCGTGTGTGTAAACTTTTACTAGACGTTGCCATATTACCTTCTGGAAAAGGTTGTGGCAATTCGCAGTCCTGCCAGCAGTATGTGAGAGGGCCTATGTTCCCACCTGGAAGCGATCCCTCTTTTAAATGGCTGCCAATCGGACACATGAAAAATGGTATGGCATTGTTGCTTTAATTTACATTTCCCTAACTGCTAGGGAGGGTGAGCAAGATGCCTGTTTCTAAACGCTCAAACCACTTTCCATCTGTTACCTTGCATTATCCTGTCCTATCCTGCAAAGAAGCTAGCCACCAGCACTAGCATCACCTCTGATTTACAAGTGGAGAAACTGAGGCACAGTGCAATTAAGTGACAATCTGACACCTCATAGTGAGTGAGTATCTTTAACCAAAAAAAAATTCCAGCCCTCTGCCTTTCCAAACCAGATGTTATGAGAATTAAACAACATCTGCTAAGAACATCATCCACAAATAGCTGGGGAGTGCACACCATTCTGCTGGGTGTTGCAGGAAGTTTGCAGTGGAAGGAAGCAAGGAAGGAAGAAAACGAACACTTGCTAGACAATCCCACCAGCCAAGGATTTTCATGGTATTATTTTTACTCAATCTTCCAACAAATCTCTATGAAATAGGTATTCCTGTCCCCCTTTTACAGATGAGGAGACTGAGGCTGAGAGGTCACTCTGTGATCTGAACCAAGTCTGCCTGACTCTGAGTCCCACGCTGTTCCCATCACACGATGCTGCTGCTCCTGTTTCCTGGCCGCACAAAAAGGGAAGGCATGGCCCCCTTGCCTCAAGGAACGCGGCACACACCACACAACGAGCACAGCAGGGAAGTCCCCCAAGCAGTGAGCACCTGCACACGACATACACGGCGCATAGGCCTCTCGCCTCCCACCGTGCCTGCCCAGGCTCTGACGCTGCCGGGCACGCAGGGCCCCAGCCTCTTTCCTTAGTGTCTGTTCATGTCCCTTCCCCTTCAGAGGGGATCAAACTGCCTCAGTGACCCTGTCAGTCCCGGGTGGACAAATACAAGCCCGACTTTGCAGGATTGATGGGGGCCACCTCCAGAGTATGCAGAAACAGAGACAATCTTAGCTCCATCCTGACTCCACCTCCACCCTCACCTTGGGGAGAGGCGGCACAGGCTCCAAAGGGTAGAGCAAAGAGGCCGGCCTGAACCGGTCCATCCTCCTACTGGGTTTTCTCTGAGGTCCCAGACCTTGTTCTTCCTCTGGCCCCTTTGGCTATGGGGAGGAGAGCAAGGCCCGGAGAGAGCAGAGGCAGATGGCAGCGGGAAGAGGCTCCTGGGTCTCAACCTCCAGCCCAGGTGTCGTGATGGATGCTGCCTTGTCTGCTGGCATTCCCTCGGCACAGGGGCTACAGCAAGCCACGTGGGGCCCCCGGGACAGCCTGACCCTGCTCTGCCCTGTGCAACAGCTCCTCCTGCAGCCTCCTGGCCTTCCCACCGCCCACCCAGCACGGCCAGGTGCTTCCTCTACCGTGTGAGGCTGCCCACCCACAGGACGGGGCCTGAGCTCCCACCAAGCCTCACTCTCCCTGCTGGATCAGGAAACAGACACACCCTTCCGTGCCGGGTTTCCTGCCTGGGCCTGGGACACGTGCCAGAGAACGGCCCCAGAGGTACGAGCAGAGTCAAAGCCACCTGCCCCAAATCTTTCAGGTGTCTGGTTTAGAGCTCCCCCACTGCCTGGGAGGTACACAGTCAGGCCCCAAAGCCCTCAGCCTGCTAATTTTCAACATCCTACTTCATGCCAAACCCTGTGCCAGGCACTGTGGGGGGACACAGGGCCATGAGAATGGCTGGAAACATATTCTAGGTGTCAAATAATTGATAAAGACTGTCACTGCCCAGGGCCATCCGAAGAGAGAAATTCCAGGGTTTCCAGAGGAACTGAGGTTTGAGCTGCAGAGACGCCAAACATTCACAATTCTAACATTTACCAAGTCCATGTTGTATGCCAGGAACTGTGATATACCATGTGCTCTACATGCTGAGGCTCAGAGAGGTTAAATGACTTGCCCAAGGTCACACAGCTAATAAGTGGTCGAGTCTGGATATGAACCCCATTCTGATGGCCGTCATGGTCAGGCTCCCAGCTTCAGCCTCAACCCTTGCTGAGCTGAGCTCAGACATGTGTCCCAGGGGAGGGTCCTGCTGAGGCACCTGGTGAGGAGGCCCCAGGAAAGACCCAGCATCTACTCAGGCCAGTGAGCCAGACCCACATGGGAACTCCAACATGCCTCACAGCCATGGCACGCCAGGCCAGCAGGGAGGCCAAGCTGCACGTGCCAGGAAGAGGGGGGTGGCCAGGGCTGGTGGGGGACTCCTGCTCTGTCTGCCTCTCGGGCTGCTGGCATCTGACAGGCATTGCCCCTGGAGCCAGTACCAATAGGACAATGCATGTACCATGGGGGTGACCAAGTCTCCCATCCCCTCACCCCCTACCACTCTCTTCGCCACCTTGCCCGAGAGGTCAACGCCTTTGTCCCTGGCAGGAACTGACTACAAATTTCCAAGATTCATGGCAGCAGCCCTGCCCACATTGACCATAATCCTCCTGTCATCAACCCATGAAGACTCGCTGCTCAGCTGGGCACTGGGCTGAGGGCTGGCTGGGGACGCTCTGGGAAGTGGTACAGTGGCAGCTTCTATGGAGTCACCCCCACGTGGGAATCACCCCCCATTCCAAATCAAATCAAAGCCTCAACTTATACCCCAGAGATCTGGTGAGCTGCAGTGAGAGGTTTCTGGCAGTGG